CAGCTGAAGCAGGGAACTGGCTAAGACAGCGGCACCCTGGTCTGACCATCAGAAAGCAAGAGACCTGAGAACTTGAAAGGCGAGGCTCATCCAGTCATTTATCCCTCCGACCTTCAATTAACTCCACATGAGTTTATCGGCCAGGTTGGCACAATAAACTTTAACTATCTCACATACCTAGGACACACCCAATCTATTAGCCCCTGTATGCTGACTGCCATCCTTGAATGGGCAGGCAAGTCTGCTTATAGTGTCCCTTCATGGGACTCTCAAAGTGACATGAATATCCACCCACATTTTTTACAGCCTTTTATGTTCTGCTGGAAAATGCTATACATTTTACAATTAGATATTTAATTTAAATAAAACTGGAACTTATTTTGATATAGGTGGAATTCTGAAAAGTAACGAAACATTGTTAAATGATTTGAAAGGCATGTAAGACTGGCTGGTAGAACTGTAGGATGCTTTAAAATGAACATGCTGTTGAACACCTTTCCCCACGAGTGTCCTATGATTGCAGGCTGTTCTGCTCACTGGGGAGCAGGGAACTGCAAAAACAGTGATGATTAAGGCCTATTTGAAAAAATATGATCCTGAAGTACAGCTGTCCAAATCTCTAAACTTTTCATCTGCCACAGAGCCAATGATGTTTCAGGTCAGACCCGTCATTTTCTCTAGTAATCACTTAAAACATTGTAAGGGGCTGTTACCATCAAATGTGGGCGATTATAAAATATAGTATAATAGTACGATATTAGGTTAATATTAGTGTTGTGTTAGTTAATATTACACAGTAGCCAAGGAAACAATGGCACTGTTGGTGCTCTATGGCTAACATGAAGTCAAATAGAAATAGCACATTTTGACCTAATATTGAGGCAGACTCATGTCTCTCGGACGCTGACACTTATTGGAGTGCATCTATTTTAATATAAATGAATGACAAACATTCCAATAACTCTTTTTCCAATTTCACCGTGCATATCCTAATAAATGTGCTTACATGTGTTAAATAAATAAGAGTTATTCTACTCTCAAGCATGCTCACCCCTTTTAGAAATATGGATTAAAATGTAACAGATAATAAACCATTCCTTTTTCTCTAGAGAACAATTGAAAGCTATGTGGATAAGCGGATGGGAAGCACATATGGGCCACCTGGCGGAAGGAAAATGACTGTATTTATTGATGATATTAATATGCCTGTGATTAATGAATGGGGAGATCAGGTACATCAGAAATATTTCCTATTGATGAAATTGAATTGTATTTTTTAGTGATATAAAGGTAGATGTCAGTAACCTTCACAGTATTAAGTGGAGGGCCATTTTTCAGTCTTTATGACTTCCCTCTTCTAGTTGATATTCTTCATCATGGAAACTCTATATGGTTTTCTCCAAAAACCTCTTCCGACTTCCTGGCTACTCGATCCTAATGTCCCTTCTGAGCGCCTCTCTTGCTTTGGGAGTTCCTGGGTAATGCAAATGGTTCACCTCACTTGGCTGCTCACCAAAAGCTTGGGGTTCAAGTCTACCTAGAGGTGCCTCAGAAGAAGGGCCTGATATCTATTTCTGAAAAAGTTAGCCATTAAAAATTCTATGGAGTGCAACAAGGGTCAAAAAATAAATAAATAAATGGGTGATTATACATACACACACAAATGTGTGGGT